GAAAAGACAGCACAATCTATGCAATAGTACCCTCCTATAATTTTGTGTTTTACAAATTGCACATCTGTGTATCATAATCATAGAGATCAACACAGACAATACGTTAGGTCAATACTCAGCTTAAGCAAAAAGGTTAATTTTAATAAAAATGAATGAGCAATTTTTTAAAAAAATCCTTGTATATATCCATCAATAGGACAAAGATAGCCATGGCATTATTTTCCATACTCGTGTGATTAAGAGAATATTATAACAAGAGTTGCTAGCGATGGACCTGTGAAATGTGTTCATAGGAATCAATCACTAAATCAAACCATAGTTTAAATTAAAGCATTTTTTTCTGATTTCTCCATTTCCATACCACCTTCCAAAGGTACTTTGTTTTGAATCTGAATATTACTCTCTCATGTATATATATATATATATATATATATATATATATATATATATATATATTATATATATATATTATATATGTCAACAATCACAACATTACAATGGCAACTCAGCATTCTTGCTCATCATTTTTTAGTAAACTATATGGATAAATAAAACAGCTCTGTGAGTGGAAAAGACATTTATAAAGATATGTAAGTATTGACCTAGAACCATGGTATAAATGCTAATTCTAAGGAATGGAATTGAGAAAACATAAGCATTTTATTTCAAAAGAGAAATACCAAACTATGGTAAAGTAAGAATTAAAAGTAAAGTTTTATATATATATATATATATATATATATATATATATATATATATATATATATATATATATATATATCCCTACAAGAGCAATACCTACAAGAAAATCAATGCTTGTATATTTATACCTGATCTTACTCAAAATTAAAAGACATGTGACATTAAAATGAAAGCAGTAAGAAAGTTAAAATATGAGCACACTTGACCATCTAGATTTAAGTGAAATGTTACATAAAAGATAATTATCTTTTTCTGCAAGTCAATGGAAAACAGAAATAGAAAGAACCTGCTTCACACTCTAGCATGAAGGATATAGATTTGATTCGAGAAATAGCTCTCTTTCTGACAGTGAATTGAAATAGCTCACTATATCTTATTTGAAGATATTTAGAAAGAAAATGGAATCTTATCTCTTTCAGCTCCTTGAGGCTTGTTTCTACCTACAAGGATGTTTGATGACTTGCCTAAGTCTCCCCACTGGCCCTACAATTACTTAGTACCAAGAGGAATTCTGTTTCTTTTATCCAAAGGGAAAACCTGATTTAAAAAAAAAAAAAGGTTGCCACAGAGTAAGATTAAAAATGTGCCCTCTGTCCAAGAGAAGTATATCTGAGTCTGTGGTAGACTTATTCCCAGTTTTCTGAGAAACCACCACACTGACTTTCAAAATGGCTGTACAAGTTTGCACTCCCACCAGTAATGGAGGAGTGTTCCCCTTACTCCACACCCTCTCCAGCATAAGCTGTCATCAGTGTTTTTGATCTTAGCAATTCTGACAGGTATAAGATGGAATCTCACAGTCATTTTTATTTGCATTTCCCCAATGGCTAAGGATGTTGCACATTTCCTTAAGTGTTTCTTGGCCAATTGAGATTCTTCTGTTGAGAATTCTCTGTTTAGATTGGTACCTCATTTTAATTGGATTATTTGGTTTGTTGATATACAGTTTCTTGAATTCTTTATATATAAAAACTTCCACTACATTTACATATTTTGAAAATAAGCCCTCTGTCAGATATGGGGTTGGTGAAGATCTTTTCCCATTCTATAGATTGCTGTTTTTTTCTATTGATGGTATACTTAGCCTTACAGGAACATTTCAGTCTTAGTGACTGTGGTATTGGTGCTCTGTTCAGGAAGTGGTCTCCTACTCTAATGCATTTGACATTATTTCCCACTTTCTCTTCTATCAGATTCAAGTATCTGAATTTATGTTAAAGTCTTTGATCCACTTGGACTTAAGTTTTGTGCAGGGTGATAGATAAGGATCTATTTGCCTTCCTCTACATGCAAAACATGCAGTTAGACCGGCACCATTTGTTGAAGATGCTTTCCTTTTTCCATTGTATAATTTTGCCTTCCTTGTTGAAAATCAAGTGTCTAAAGGTGTTTGGATTTACATCTGGGTCTTCAATTCTATTCCTTTGATCCACCTGTCTGTTTTTATGCCAATACCATACAGCTTTTATTACTATAGCTCTGTAGTAGAGGCACTAAGATTGAAATCAGGGATGGTGATACCTCCAGAACCTTTTTTATTGTATAGGATTGTTTCAGCTATTCTGGATTTTTTATTGTTCTGTATGAAACTGAGTGTTGTTCTTTCAAGTTCTGGAAAGAATTGTGTTGGGATTTTAATGGTGATTACATTGGATCCATAGATTTCTTTTGATAAGATGACCATTTTTACTATGTTCATCCTATGGATCCATGAGCATGGGAGATCTTCCCATCTTCTGAAATCTTTTTCAATTTCTTTTTTCAAAGACTTGAAGTTCTTGTCAGACAGGTCTTTCACTTGCTTGGTTAGAGTTAAACCAAGATCTTTTATATCTTGGGTGTTGAGTCTCTCATTTCTTTCTCAGCCCATTTATCCTTTGTATATAGAAGGGCTACTGATTTTTTTTAGTTAATCTTGCATCCTGTTACTTGACTAAAGATGTTTATCAGCTGTAGGAGTTCCCTATTAATTTTTGGGTCTGCTTATGTATACTATCATTTACCTGCAAATAATGATACTTTGTCTTCTTCCTTTCTAAATTGTATTACCTTGCTTTCCTTTAGTTGTCTTATTAGTCTAGCTAGAATTTCAAGTACTATATTGAATAGGTATGGTGAGAGTGGGCAACCTTGTCTTTTTCCTGATTTTAGTGGAATTGCTTTGAGTTTTTCTTCCATTTAGTTTAATGTTGGCAATTGACTTTCTGTATATTGCTTTTATTACATTTAGGTATGTCCCTTGTATCCCTGATCTCTTCAAAATTTATATAATGAAGGAGTGTTGGATTTTTTCAAAGGCTTTTTCAGCATCTAAGGAGAAGATCATGTGTGTGTGTTTTTAAGTTTGTTTATATAGTGGATTACATTGACAGATTTTCATATGTTGAACCATCTCTGCATCTCTGGGATGCAGCCTACTTGGTCGTGGTAGATAATCTTTTTGATGTGATCTTGGATTTGTTTTAGGATGCTCAAACATACAAAAAGGACATTTGCTCAAGTATGTTCATAGCAGCTTTATTTGCAATAGCCAGAACTTGGAAACAACCTAGATGGCCCTCAACCAAGGAATGGATAAGAAAATGTGGCATTTATACAATGGAAAATTACGCAGTTGTTAAAAAAAAAGAAAGAAGGAAAGAAATTTGCAGGCCAGTGGATGGAACTAGAAAAAATCATCCTCAATGAGGTAACACAGATAAAGACAAACATCATATGTACTCATTCATAAGTGGATATTATCTGTAAGATAAAGGATAAGTATGCTATAATCCACAGACTCAGAGAGACTAGGAAACAGGAGAGTTCATTGGGAGACACCCAGATCTCCCTGGGAAGGGGAAATAGAAGAGATTTTGTGAGTGGGCTGAGGATGGGTGGGAATGGGAACGTGAACCATCAGGTTGGGGGTAGAGTGGGAGAGTACTGAGGGGGACTGCTGATCTGGAATATTTCAAGATCTGGTGGAAGCCTGGTGCAGGGGAACCTCCCAGGAATCTATAGGGAGGACCCCAGGTTAAACTCCTAGCAATAGCAGATAAGTAGCCTGAACTGGCCATCTCCTGTGACCAGATTGGTGCCTGGCCCTATTGTCATCAGAGAGGCATCATCCACCAACTGAGGGAGACAGACACAGAGACCCACAGACAAACATTAGGTGGAGTTTGGGAATCCTATGGAGAAGGAGGAGAAAAGTGTATAGGAGCCAGAGGGGTCAAAGACACCACGAGAAGGCTCACACAATCAACTAACCCAGGCTCATAGGGGATCCTAGAGACTGAAGGGACAACCAGAGAGCCTGCATGGGACTGACCTAGGCACTATTCATATATAAAATAGTTGTGTAGCTTGGTCCTCTTCTGAGACACCTAACAGTGAGAACAGGAGCCGTCACAGACTCCTACTGGCTTTTGGTAACCTACTCCTCACACTGGGTCACCTTGCCCAGCCTTAATACACTGGGGGTGCTTAGTCTTACTGCAACTTGATATGTCATGCTTTATTGATACTCATAGAAGACCTACCCTTTCCTGGATGGAGACAGAAGAGGGAGGTGGTTGTGTGGGGAGAGGGGTAGATGCAGGGGGAGAAGCTGGGAAAGGAGGGTCCGGGGGAGGTTGTAGCTAGGATGTAAAATAAATAGATGAATAAAAATAAAAATAAAAACAAAACAAAAAATAAATAATAAATGAAATAACACATTTGAATCATTGGCAAAGTCCTAGGTACATGGCAGCTTTCAACAAATGCTAGTTCTCAGTTTTCTGTACATATAAAAATGCTTATAGTAAAAAGGCAGAAGGAAGGGCTATCTCATAATTATTTTATTTTTGGTAGAATTATGATGAACTTACAGAAGCAATTCTATTCTTTATTTTTTATACTTCCCCACAACCTTGAAAGGATCATTTTTTAAAATGTATAATTAAAATCAAGAAAGACAAAAAAAAGAGGCCTCTGTTTCAGTATCCTTCATACTGTATGACTAATTGTGATCATAATTCAATTATGTTTTGGATTATAAATTCATACAGTTCTAAGAAGATTAATACTATGCTTACTTAATTACTTTCTCTTGACTTTGAAAGAAACAAGTAAACTTAATATTTACATATCAGCCCAAAATGAGGCTATTTAGAAACTATATTATGCCTAATTTTTCAGATATAATTATTGTTATTGTGTTTTCTCTTTATAATTTGTCTTTATTCACATTTTGAAGCAGCTGGAAACAGAGGTTAAGATCTAAACAATTATCTGAATGCGAACAGTTCCCTGGGAGAGAATTTGTATTTTACCTGATTTGTTAGACACCCAAATAATTGCTTCTGAAGACACATGGCTTCTATTTCCTACCACAATGGTTAATGGAATCTGCCACAGGTAACTGGAAAAAAATAGAAAGCATTAAGAATAAAAACAGTTATATTAAAACAAAAGCAAACAAGCATTGCCTATGTTCCTTCTATGCAAATTTCATTACTTTCTTGAAAAAAATCAATCTATCAATTAATCAATCAATCAATCAGCAAATAAATCCTAGGCCTAAAGAATGTTTGCAAAAGGCAAACATATCTTCCCAGGGCCACTAACAAGACACTTGGTATCTAATAATTTTAACTTCAATGCAAAAGAACTTCCATAAGACAATTTATCATGGAAAAATAGATTTGCATTTTAGAAATAAATATAAGTAAAATCTATAAACCTAAGCTGCACTATTTATTGATTAAAATAGCTCTCCTCTATTTTTTTCTGAATTATACTAATAGATAATTCAGTAGTTTCCTACATTTGCATATTACCATTGTCCTTATTTATTGCCTAATATGTCTGAGGGGCACTATCCACATATTTTACAGAGAGATTAATATGGCACACCAAAGTAACTCGGCAAATAATAAAGCAAGAACAAAAACAATCAGTTTTCACTATACTTCAGATCTATATAAAGAATAATGTGGGGCACACTTCATGCTCTGTTTTCTGAAAAGAATTTCTAAGTGGATATGACAATGAAGCCACCAACAGGAGGGGTCATCAAGGAGTCGTGGCTATTAAAAAGAAGCATTTTATTTCATTTACCTCTTCATAGGATAAAAATTGAGGTCCTAGACTCATAGATGAAGTGATATCAATGTAATATCAAATGAGTAGCCAGACATACATGGAATGATTTTACAATAAATCCATCAACTGCACTTTGTCTCCTTGAATTATAGACAAACTATTTTTACCTCACATTGTAACTCTGGTAAAAAGTGGTAGCCAACACTTACATTATAGGAAGAGAAATACCTAAAATATAATAAGAAATTTTATGCATACTCTAACCACTTCGTGAGTGAAAAATGTATTGGAAAGTTTTAGGAGAAAATGCCTGAGGTAATAAACTGTGTAATGAGTATGTCTGGGCCTCTGTGACTGCCCATTTTCATCAATAGTTTTCATTTTACAGTAAATCAACATTTAATTCTAATTATTAGAGAAAGGCAGAAAATGTATGCATGTTTGAGTCAGGAGGAGAGAATTCTTTATAAAAAAAATAGTATCAGTGTTAAAGGATCAGTATAAAGTGCTATTGTCAACTCAGAAGAGAAGGAAAGCCTGGCCGGTTTGGTGCATATGATTCTGTGTAGATAAGAGCTGCAAGGAGCAATTCAGAATATAAGGAGACATTATGCAACATTGCAAAGTAGTGAATTTAATTTATTTAAAAATGCCACAAAAATGTCTAACTTTCTAAGTAACAAGATTCTCGTACAAATGTCACACTATGTCACACATCAGCTGACTTTATGAATTTTTAGTTATATAAGGATCTTTCTATGCTGTGATACAAGGACTCTGTGTGAAAAATATAACTATTAGATCCATTAAAATGTTTTGAGCATATTGTAGTTACATCCCAATATCCTCAGGAAAAAATGAAAACAAAGAATTAACTCAGCTTAGAAAATATGCACAACTTACTAGAAATTTTGGCATAGATGAGCAAGTTCTATTACATCAATGGAATACATTGTATAGTAGAGTTAGGAAGGTTCTCTGCAAAGACCAAATAGAATTGGTATTGAATCTTTGACAAGAATGTCACAGAGAATTAGATGATCAATAATATAAATTTAGAATACTACATTTCAAGTATAGATTTTATTATTATTTAAATAGAAAATCATTCCTGGGACTAATGTGATGCTTTGTATCAGCATCACGTGTCTTTTATATGTTCTGTGGCAAGTGCTCAGGATTTGAATCTTCCACATATTTCTGTAATTCTAGCAGACATAAAGCTCTGTTATTGCACATGTATACACAGCCCAGACTACACATTTTCAATCAAAAGACCAGGCTCACAGGTAGTGTAATAGTGTATGTCACAGACTGACAAGTATTGTTGCGCGAAATTTCTCCTGTCAACCTTTATGTGTCCTTTATGTTTATTTTCTACATTAGTGAAACTATGTCAAGATAGCAATTCTCAGAGACCTAACCTGATCTCTCTCTAACTTTGCCACAGGAAAGTGCTTTCTGGCAAGTCAAGTTTGATGCCTGATGATGTCGATCCTGGACCCAGACAGTGAGGGAGTAACAGGAAGCAGTCGGTGCTGCAGGCACCAGAAGAAAAAAAAAAAAAAAAAAAAAAAAAAAAAAGGACCACAGTGATATTGTGGCAGGGTAATATGTGTTGCAAGAATCCAGAGAGTTGGATGAGTTAGATGCAAAGGTCAATGTATATGTGGAGTGGAGGACTTAAGGCTCTGCTTTATTCCTGGAGAGAAACCTCAGTAGTTAACAGATTTATTGAACAAAAAGACCTGAGTTCAAATACCCAGCACCCACATAAAGTTGTAGTACACACTTGTAATAATCTCCATGCTGCTATGGAGACATAGGAGGCAAAGCCAGGACCGTGGAATCCATACCACTTAGCTAGGCATCCACAATGATGAATAAGAGATCCTGTCTCAAACAAGATGAAGAGTGAGGACTGGTGCCTGAGGTAGTTCTTTAACCTCCTCGTGTGCAATATGGCACACACAAACATGCATATGTGTACAAACAGAGATTAAACATACAGAGGCTAAAAAGAGTGACCCTGCTTTCATAAATCAAATGCCAAATGCATTCATCAGAAAGCGCCAATTAATTTCTCAACTATGGCTCTGTACATCCATGCCTGGCCCAAGCTGACTTGGCAGTGGTTTCCAGTCTTCTAAGGTGTATGTGCCAAGTCTCATGGATACTCATGATTAATAAAGTCAGACACCTACCTAGTTTTCCAAAGCAACAAGAGAAAGCATAAGTGACCCAACAGAAATCTCTAATCTTCTTTACTAATTTCACCCCTCCTCTGTTGGTCACTCAGTCCCTCCCCACCTCACCCCATACAGTCTCCTCTTACTAGAGCTTCTGGTAAGAGATGAAACTGACTTATAAAAGTTGGATCTTTCTTTGGCTCAGCCTTTAGAATAAGGAACAGAATAGAAAACATGGAATAAAATAAAAAAGAATTTCAAAAGGAAGTTAAAATAATGAATCAAGATTTCAGGCAGATGCAATGGCTGGGGCAACAAGATCTTCGTCAGTCATAGGCTAGCCCATGATGCATAGTGAGCCTGAAACCAGGTGGGCTATAGAGTGAGATCCAGTTTTGGGGAAAAAATAACAACCAAACAAGGAACAATTTTATATGCGTTATATCTAGTCAATGATCTCAAACACTGTAATTGAGAGGAAAAGAACATATGTTGGTCCTACACGGCCCCACTGAAGCTTGGATTATTTTAGGGTCTACATTATGTTCCTTCAACTCAAACATTATTAAGTACAGAACTTTGGTTTAATGAGTTTTTCTGGATTGTTAGTTTCAGTTCTCATTTGTCTTGTAAAGCACATTTGATTCAATTCCACTCAATTCATAGCAGCACGTTTTAACTATTGGATTTAATTCAAGAACTATTCGTAGAGAAGAGAAGACGCAAATCTTATCTTTGAAAGTCACCATGTTAATTCAAAGTCCTCCCTTCTGAAAAAAAAGTGCCGTTATGCTGAAAGTTAAAATCTTGAGGGAGGCCTAGAGAGGAGGTTCAATGGTTAGTAGTACTGGCTGTTCTTCCAAAGAACCCAGGTTTGAATTCCAGTACCCACATGACATCTGACAACTGTCTATAACTCCAATTCTAGGGGATTCAATGACTTTCTGGCCTACTTGGACACCAGGCACTCACATTGTGCACAGATAAACATGTAGGCAAAACACCACACACAGTAAATAAATAAACAAAATAGTTTTTCAAATCTTGAGGAAATAGAAACAAAAGAAGAATCACAATGAAATAGCAAATAAATTAAAATTATATTCCACGTACATTTCAGAATTTTCTCAACAGTAAATTAAATATTTCTCAAAAAATTTTAAATGTAAAACAATCCTTAACAATATAAAATATCAGAATGCAAAGTGAAATATTAAAAATCACAATCCCCTTCCACGAGAACAAGAGTGTAGTACCTGTTATTCTGAAGTTGGAGTGCTTTGGTTTTAGCACTGATGTCATAAATGAAATGTTGTTGGGTGATAATTATTCTATTTTCTACTGTCATGTTTCCCAGGATGGTGATAACAGGATATCCCATCTGCAGTGTCCACTGATCCATTACTTCTTGTATGTTCACATATTTTCCATTCCTTTTTAAAGCCTTTGCAACCAAAATTGTATAAATTAATCTATTAACACTTCTTGTAAGCATAATTAACATTAATCTGTTCTCATTTTTACTATTACTATTTACCTCAATATGAAAACATTTAAAATCAGTGAAGCTAACATTATGTCCTAGTAAAATTAATCTTCTTGCCTTGAGCTTCTATTGTTTTGTTCCATATATATGTACAGCTGAGTTTTATTAACATTAAAATTTTTACATAGCAGAATATAAAATGTAAATCATTATTACAAGTACTTCTACATTATTTTGCATTTCTGATAGGTCTACTACCATGTAGTAAAAATTTTCTAAAATTTTCAATATTTCTGTTTTGAATATGAATCTATAATACCACATTAAAATATCATTCGAAAATATTGTGATGCTTCATGCACAAAACCTGTGCAGGATCATACCAGCCAAAATCCAAATGTGGACAGCAGAGAGTGATCCCTAAGTCCTACCTTTAGATGAGGAGCTATTGGCAATTGGTGACTAGTGCGAGAAAAGTCAAAAATCTTCAAGAATGTGGCCCTAGAGGGACTACCCATCCCTATCTGCATCATATAGATGACCCTATTCCAAGTCCCATACTGACAGAAGTAAGTGGACTCAATGAGATTTTTAAAAAGAACACATGAAATTGGGATGGAATCGTGATGGGAGAGAAGAGGGGAGGTTTTGAGGGGAGAGATTAGAGGTAGATTTGCTGATCCACATAGATCATAGACATTTATAAAATTATCAATTATTAATTAAAAACAACGTCACTTTTCAAAACAGACAAGATATGTTTAACCAACATTTGTAAGTCAAATAATTTTAAATCCTATCTTCTTTATAGTAGATAAAAATAAAGCACTAAAGCAATATGAAAAAGAGAAGAATTATATGAAGTAAATATAAACTGTCCATGTCAATAAAAGTTAATGTCTTATAAATGAAATTCAGTTGCTCCAGAAGATACTTTGACACTTCAGCTTTCTCTACTTTACCTCTGATAATGTATTCCAGAGATCATTTCTGGCTGCATTGCCATACTTGTGGATAGTTAAATAATCCTATAAGAATATAAAATTGTAATTACCATTCAAAGGTTAAGCAATTACCAGTAAACACATTTATTTCTCAATTCAATTAACCATTTCTATGTGTGGAATTGCATTAAAGCAAAGAGGAAGACAGGCAAAAAGATTTAGAATAGCATTTAAAAATATTCCCAAGAGTTTTAACTAGAGCATATTTCCCAAGTCACCCAACTATACTAATTTCTTAACAAGGATTTTCACAGCTATAATCACATCTTATGGATGCTCAAGGTCAAGGATATACTGTAACTGAGCTGGTCAACATCAGCTCATTAGGGGAAAATGACCTCTGCAATGAAATGCGCAGAACAAACTTTCTCATCACCCCATTCAATTGTTCAAAGCAAAACATAATCTTTCATGGAAAAACATTCTTTAGGTGACATATGCTGATGCTGAGGGGGAACGGTCCACTCTCCAATCTCTCTCCGGTTGCTCTAAGCAAAGGAGAAACTGATGATTGCAGAAGTGATACTTATTTCTGTAGTTTGAAGCACACATTACTAGCAATTAAAAAAAGTCCTCCTAAAATTGTTTCACAACTTCAGGCTTGGGATTTCCCATTCCTCATTATGTTCCATTAGTGGTTAAACCTACACACTTTGATTCACACCTTACTCCCTTCTAAGAAGTGTGGTCTGTCTCATTATCGAGGTGACAGCTATCATGATAATTAGCATCAGATTTTTTTTTCTGATTTCAAAGAACAAAATTGAACAAAAAGGACTGATTTTTTTTAAAAAAAAATGAAGAAAATCTTACACTCAAAATTTTATTTTCTTAACAACATGCAGGTAAAAAGACACAATTTCTAATATTTTTTATCCAAGTTCTTGAACTGAAAAAAAGTTGCTGACTTTTCAATACTTTATATGGAATTGGGCACTTTGAGGATAATTAACATCAGGGAAGGAAATTTCAATACAAATTATAGAAACTGTGACAGATTCAGCTCTTATTGGCAATTCACAGCAGAACAAATGACAGTTCCCACTTAATCATATGCCTAGAGAGGTGATACCCAACCTCAACTTAGCAAGCACATGTTCAACTTTATCATTAGGTGTTATGAATAACTTTATTAAATATAGAACACACACCTCATCATAACCAATATGAATCCCAAGTCAGACTGAACCAAGCTTCAGGAAGTTTGTTCTACATAAACCCCAGGAGTAGGTTTATTTGCTTTTGGGGGTGGAGGAGGTACAGGAAGATGCATTTTAAATACATGAGTTCAGCTTTCAATTTCATTCTTTTCTTTGTTTCTTTCAGAATTTAGATGAATGAACTTGGGAAGAATGCAGTATTAACTGCATCACTAGATGAAGAGATATAGTCAGGTCAGTGGCTGCTGACAGAGGGAGAATCAATTGTATCCAGATACAAGCCCCAATGATAAGTTATCCAATCCCAGATGATCAACATTAAATCCATGTATATATGAGCAACACTAAAAGGACTCTCAAGGATATATAGACCATGATGCATAATAACAATTACTATTATTATACAGGAGTAAGTCATGAACCCAAGAGGGAGTAGGGAGGAGCTTGAGGGCAATAGTGGAAATGATGTAAATACAATGTACTCATGTATGAAATTCTCAAAAAAAATTAAAAAAGAAACTCATATGATTTTGTAAGCTATAACTGAACATAATAAATTAAAATCATTCTGAGTTTGGTTCTGCTTGTAGATCGTGATTCTAAACTCTAACAGGGAGAACAAAGAGTACTATGTGCTGTGGAATATTCTGTATGCTGTGAATGTGTTGTTCCGATAGGTTGATAAATAAGAAGCTGATTGGTCAGTAGCCAGGCAGGAAGTATAGGCAGGATAAACAGACAAGGAGAATTCTGGGAAGAGAAAGGCTGAGTCAGGAGATGCCAGCCCACCGTCCCAGGAGCAGCATGTAATGGCACACAGGTAAAGCCACGAAACACATGACAACATATACATTAACAGAAATGGGCTGATTTTAAATGTAAGAGCTAGTAGATGGTAGGCCTGAGCTAATGGCCAAGCAGTTTTAAATAACATTAAGCCTCTGAATGATTATTCTATAAGTGGGCCATGGGACTGCAGGGACTTAGTAGGACAGAGAAACCTTCCAGCTGCTACTATGAGGTCCATTAAACTAATTTTTCATCTCATAGGCCACCAAAAGCACTATGACATATGCTATAAGTTGATCTTGTTCTACTGATCATCAGATGGGATGCTTAGTCATACTCCAGTTCATGATAAAGTTCCATTTCAAATGGATTGAAATGGCACTTGTCAGGGTTAAGTGGCAACCCCGGCCTTGGTGCCTCAGTGGTCAGGGATGGCGGAGTTCTTCTTGGGCCCCTCTAGCAGGGATGGCGGAGTTCTTCTTGGGCCCCTCTAGATACAGTCCTCAGATGTACTGGAAGTCTACATGTTCAAATACCTTTTTCCCCAGAAAATGACTTCTTTGTTATTTTATTCTTTCTCTCACACAAACACAATCATTTCTTATATGAACAAGATGCCATTGCCTAGTGGAACTACAAAGAAATCCAAAGGATTGTGAATGTTGTTCTAATAGTTAAACGCCTATTAATTCATTTCATAAAATATATAAAGGACTAAGCATACCAAGAAGCCTTGCAGGTGCTGAGAAGATGTCAGCAGGGGAAAGCTTACTAAGAACAATTGCAAAAACCTAGGTGTAATTTGTATGGGAGGTCTTACTTCTATGAATGACCCTGGAGATGTCATGGTACAACTACCATTTTGCTCGATATGATCAAATATATGTTTGTAATTTTAATTTTCTTTCAAGCCTTCAAGGCAATGAATATAGAGATCTCAGACATATGAATCAGAAATAGAAATCTGCTTTTCTTCAGGTAAATGAAAGAGAATCAGCAATAGATTTGGAATTATTACATAACATTGAATGCTTTAGTGTTAACATGCAAAGAATTGTGGGTACTCTACACTAGTTACTTCAGAAATAGGGTTATTGGAAATAGCAAAGAGAACCACAAGCCTGTGTAAATGTACATGGCACATAATATGGATAGATGAAAAGCTAAAAATATATGCAACAAGCATTTGTTTTGATAGATCTACTGAAGAAGAGAGGCATCATGGCACAAGGGCTTGAATAAGAATGGGAGTCTGAGCCGGGCGGTGGTGGCGCACGCCTTTAATCCCAGCACTCAGGAGGCAGAGGCAGGCGGATCTCTGTGAGTTCGAGGCCAGCCCGGTCTCCAAAGCGAGTTCCAGGAAAGGCGCAAAGCTACACAGAGAAACCCTGTCTCGAAAAACCAAAAAAGAATGGGAGTCTGACAAAACTGGAGCCAAATCCAAGGTCCAACACTCACTAGCTGTATAATATCTGAGTTATGAACAAGCCACCATAGTTAAGTTCTTTTGCCTGTTTTCACATCTGTAAGGTGAAGGTGATAAAAGCACATCACGTGTAGTTACATTTCTGAGAATACATACAATGTTAAAGTAGTGAAGAATTCCTAGTATACCCTGAGAATTCTTATCATCTTATACCTTCAGGCTATAGGTTGGAAAACTGGGCAAAAGAAAGATATGTATCATTGGTAACAGTGAAGAGTAAATCAGATGTGAAATAAGTTCATCAAGTTTTTTTTAGCATACTATGAGTTCCTTTATACTTTATCTCATTTGATTAACACCACATCATCATTTAACAAATCAAAGACTGGACATCAGAGATGATAGCCCATATCCAAATCACAACAAAGTCATGAAAACAACTACCGACCCACAGTCAGCAATCAAGGTGTGCTGCAGACACTGTGAGAATTCCATGTGTCTGTGAGCTGATCGCCCTTCAACTGCAGCTCTTTTGGGCGGCCTTTTACAATGACAACTTCCCCTCCCCTCAACTAAAATGTCAACTTGACGCCTCTCTTTTTCCACGTTCAAATGATGGTTTATGGTAGAAACATTTCGCCCCAAGACCCTCCCATTCCATTCCATTCCATTCCACTTCTTTGATGATTACTAACCTGAACGTTGCTTGGAAGATTTCAAGTACCACTGTCCCTTGCTTTACTGTTTTCAGTTATAATCTCTACCATGAACCAGAACACTTTTGGTCAAATTCTCATATGAGCCACAGGGATGAGCTAAATATTATCCAAAATCCTTTATGTAACTTAAAAACATACTTCTTCAACCCCATCTGTTACCCTCTAGTTTTGTAGCCTCACCTGAGACACTTTGATGTTTTAGAATATGCCCAATGCATCATTTCTAATTCTGCTCATACAGTTTTCTACATATTAGTTTCTCTTTTGCCCACTTAAATTCAGTCTATCCTCCAGAAATAACTTTGGATGAATTTTCCCCAGGAATCCTTCTCTGCCCACTTCAGTACCTTTCTTAGTTTTGAAGTATCTTTCTTAGGTTGCTATTTGTTGTACAACATAAGAACATTTTTCACAGCATGTTGCAGTTGTTTGTTTACTGTCTGACTGCCCAGATGATCTACACAAACTGCAAGGAAGTGAAGAACTTGTCATACTATTTTACTACCATCTAACCAGCATAGCTGTGCATAGCCTGGTCTATGATACCTCTCTCAATGTGGAGCACGGCTCTCTGTTAATAATGATAATGTGTCTCTTAGGCTCACCCAAGATACCCTCTTAAGATAGTCATATAGGGTGCTGTGGGATAATGCTTTTGTACACTACTTTACCAAAATGCTCATTGGCCAGTAGCCAGGCAGGAAGCATAGGTGGCTTAAGCAGACAAGGAGGATTCTGGGAAGAGGAAAGCTGAGTGAGGAGACGCCAGCCCACCGTCTAGGGAGTAGCACGCAATGGCACGTAGGTAAAGAAAAACGTGGCGACATATAGATTAACAAAAATGGGCTGTGTAAGTGTAAGAGCTAGTCAGCAGTAAGCCTGAGCTAATGGCCATGCAGATTTTATTAATATAAGCCTCTGTGTGTTTAC